TTTCTTTCTTTATCGTACATGTGTACATTTCCACTACCAGATGTGTAACATTTGTTCTATTGTTATGATGTTGATTTGGGGTTAGTAGAGACAAACGCCAAATAACACGTAACAATAAAAAGGGTTTTAATAGGTTGGTAAAAAGGTACAGAAATTGCCTGAGTAGTCAATAATTAGCTCAGCTAAGAACTTCTCTGTCTATCTGTCTCCCCCCCATGTCAACTGACATGCCACTATTTAAAGTCTTTGTTCACAGACGCAGACAAGTTCATCTTCAAGAGGGGTGGTAGGTTTCCGATACAACATCTATTAAATCTTCAAATCAATTCTTGTTGATGAATAAATTCAACACACTGTTCTAGTGACAACTTCCACAGTTGTAAATGCATTTGTCAATATTCCTCATTTTGAAGGCCATTTACCAATTTGGATCAAATCCTCTTCAATTGACTGGTTTTCTGATCCCAGTTTGTCAAATTCACAATATTTAGTAGCCTGTTTTAAACGAAAAACATATTCAATAAATGGTTCATTCATTTTTTGAGAAATGTTCATGAACTTAGCTCTCTCTGCATTCACTAGCTTTTTCTTGGGTGCTGTGTTTTTAACAGTTGATTTATATCGCCAAACGTCATTTCCTCCAACTGTGTTGGGTGTGCAATTGCTGATATTTTTATAATAGCCTCACAAGCGGCAGTTACAAAGAAAAGATCAGTTATCTGGTTTTCTCCCTCAACTGATTTCAAATCCTTCAGCTTTTTTAGTTTTTGCTTTAGCTACTAGAATCCTAAGCCACACTTGTGCATACTCATAATTATCAAGTGATAATTTTTCATATGAGTCTTTAGATATTGGTGTAGTGTAGTGTTATTCATTCACAGGAAGTAGTATGCACTCAGCTGCCTCATAGATAATAGTTGTAGCTACTTATAGTCTTTGTGACTTTATATGTAAATGAGCCACCTCAACTGAAGCAAGGTTGCAAACTTGTTGCAATAGTTTGAAAACTTTCAAAGCCTACAGTGCCACAAGAATTCTTATATGAAATGTTTTTCCTTTGTTTTCTCTGAGTGTAAGCAAAATATTAATATTTGTACTTATCATTGTAATTCAAAATACATTTAATATTTTTATATCAAGACTACTATCTTGTTTTCACCTCTTACTTGTCCTCTTATATATTTTTACCTTGTTCTGATCTTATTTCATAAATTTTTACTTTTAGATTTTCTATATCATAACAATTCAATCTTCATTTAAATCCTTGATTTCATTTCTTTAAGATTTTTATCTCATTATTTTTGTTTCTCAGCAAATAATTTTTTTGCCAACTAACTGATATTTTTAATCGTTTTCTAACACAAATGATTGTGTTATAAGATTATCTTTTTTGGTTTTGGTTAAAAAGGATAGAATTCAAAATAAAACTCATTTTATATGGACTAAATCTTGCTTGTTGCTGCAGAGAACATTTTATGTGCTCAGCAGTAGACAAGAGAGCCCAGAAAATAATAGGCTGGTTGCTGCTCAACTTGTAGAAAATTTCTAATTCATGTTCTTGCAACATAGCAGAAAACAATAAAAGACAGTATGCCTCAAAGATATCACTTGTTTGAACTGTTACCCTCAGGGCAATGGTTTAGTTCTATTAGTTCTAGGACAAAGCACTAGAGGGACAGTTTTTATCCTTGGGCTCTGTGTAAAATGAATGCTACTACACACTGATAATTTTCCATGTACTACTACTCTTCATAAGTGCATTTTTTTTTTTGTGTGTGTGATGTGTGTGTGTGTTCATGCATCTGTGGACTGCTATCCAATTTCATTGTGTATTACACAGTGACAAGAAGAATATATAATAAATAAATAATGTCTGATATTTAAGAAAATATCAAAGACATTATTTATTTACCTCAAAACTTGATTATGCATTTCTTTCCTTTCAAAATAAGCTGGAGTAGTATTTTTTTTTTTAATAAATTATAATAATACTTCAAAGCTTTGTTCTATCTCATTTTTTAAAATAATTAAATGCTTTTATTCATCAACGATAATAGTGTTTATTTTATGGCAGTCAATTTTAAGTTTTCTCTTGTCACAGGTCATTTAGAATTGAATAGGCACCGCCACAAACTTTCTAAATAAAACGGGAAAACGCATTTTGAATGCCTTCTTTAAATTTAAATTTTGGTTCTGTTTGAAAGATAATGGTCTCTAAAGCAAATCCATAGGAAAAGAAAATTAATTTATGTATATAAATAAAATTTTGAGACATTTTTAAAAACAATGGTACATTTTTTTTATCACACATCAACTCATTGCATCGCTATTGTATACGAAAAATGTAAACAAAAATTTAAAATTCTTTTTAAAATCCAATATTTGTCCTACAGAAGTGTTTCAAAGTCTATTAGTAAATTTAACTGGATTTTCTAAAAAAAAAAAAAAAATGTAATGCCTACCTTTTATTTAAAACAGAACTAAAATAAAGTTTTATTTACATATGCTAGCCTGTGAGGTCAAAGGGTTAACGGTTACATAGAAAAACACTAATAATTCTACGCGTATCCGAAAAAGTGCGGGAAAATTTAAAAAGAAAGCCTAAAGCACAGAAGACTAGCAGTGCAATAATCAAGAATTTGTTATTTATGTTTAAAACTAAATTTTCTTTAACCTTGTTCTTATATAACCAAGAGTTTAATAATATAATTTTGTATTCAATACGCTTTATAAACTTAATAAATAATTTTATTTTGTATACTAACTGAACGGGAAATATGAAATTTGATTAATATCATAATAATTATATCTCCGATATTGAATAGTAGTCAGTCAAAAAGAGATATCATCAGGATTATTTCATTTTTGTAAATCCATACCAAAAATAATCTTAGAACAGTTGCTATAGGAAAATAAAATAAAATCATTAAACTTTTTAAATCTTGAAACATCTTTATTTAGTAAAATAAACTATTGTGACAAACAGCAACAGGATTAATTTCAAAATTGCACTGAAAAATTACAAGTAATTAAAAAAAAAAAAATTAAGTCTAGACTAGAGATTTTTTTTTCTGTCGAATCTGAAAGAAAATAATGTTTTATGCCAGCACCAATTTTCAAAATAAATTATTTTTTTTTTAGTTTTTTTTTTTTTTTTATATTTTTTTTTTTTTTGGCACGATATTGGACGAATGTCCCATTAAATAAATTTATTAATGAAATATTTTCAGGGATTACTTTTTATTATATTACTGTAAAAATATCTACCAACCTCCATCACCAATTAAAAAGTACACACGCAATATAGAAAAGGAAGAGTGAAACATCTCCCAAAGTTTTTTTTTTTTTAATCAAATATAACATATTCATGTTAATCTAATAATAGTCCTGAAAATTTAATTTGAATCGGATAATTCCCTGATTTTTGTCAAATATTTTAAAAGGTAGGTTTGTTTTTTTTTTACTTTTCATTGCAGAAATCTGAAAAAAGCATTCATTTTGGATTTTTGGTAGTACTTAGAAGAGGGTTCATAGAGAAAGAATATTCAAGTGTTTGCGGACCCGATACAAACTTGCCTGTTTCCTAGGCTAAACTAGGTCTGTTTTTTTCTTTTAATAATTTTTGGTCGCAGGTTTTAAAACTGGTTGTCCATAGCGATGAAAGCGAAAATATGACGAAAGTAGTTGATAGACGGAAGAGGAGTATTATTATAAACAACGGGTGTTCTTCAGTATTACATGCCTAAGAAATAAATATCTGTCGGATATGACAAAAAAAATAAAAAATATCATTTAGTGTAGGTAGACCTTAATTCTCAACAAATAATAAATAATTTCTTTGTATTACTCATTTCTTCATTCTGATACGATGTTGCATTCAATGTTGAAATACTGACAAACTACTAAGATTTGTCCTAATTGGAAAATGTTACCATTTTTTTAACTGACTCACGTGTATTGTTACAATACATTGTAGAATCCTGAGCATTATCAGGATTATTTCATTTTTGTACACCCATACCAAAAATAATCTAACAATTGCCACAGGAAAATAAAATAAAATAAAATTCTTTTAAAAAAAGGTTTACACTAGAAAATAACATTACTTTTTAAATCTTAAAACATCTTTATTTAGTAAAATATAAACTGTTGTGACAAACAGCAACAGGGTTAATTTCAAAATTGCACTGAAAAATTACAAGTAATTAAAAAAAAAAATTAAGTTTAGAGATTTTTTTCTGTCGAATCTGAAAGAAAATAATGTTTTAATTATGCCAGCACCAATTTTCAAAATAAATTATTTTCAAGTGTCATAGCGAAGTAGAAAACGGTTTTAGTGTGCTAACAAAGAAATAACTTAACAAGTAATATTTCAATACCTCAAATGTGTTTATAAACTCACAATTGTTTTGTTTTTTTTATTTCTATAGTAAAAAAATTAAAATATATCCTCAATCAGTAGCACTCACTTTTTAACTAATTTCCTGAACTCACATCATTACAAGGATTGTTTCAAACAATGTTTTTTTTTACCGATTCTTGTTTTTAAAGAATCCATTCAATCTTGCGTTGGGGTAAGGGTTCAAAAGCATTACATTTTAATTTTTATAGTAAAAAATTCAGTCTTTATTGGATACCGAACACTTATGGCCTTGTACCAAACCAAGATAAAAGCTTAGTGCGCAATAACCAAATTTGAACAAAAAGAATTTGATCGGTAGGGTGGGGAAAATATTTTTGCACGTGATTGCTTTATTTTATTATTTATTATTAATTACCAACTTAATTGTTTATTTCATTGTTCTTCTACATTTCACTATATTTTTTAATCTTTCCCATATGATATTCAACACTTCGTTTCATCTATCATATGACGCTCTGTGATGTGAGTCACATTGAATGGTTTTTTTTTTTTTTGTCAACTTATATAAAAGCTTAAAGCAAGTCTCCTAATTCCAGTCTTTTTGATTCATATTCACTTTTTCATTCAACCCCAGAAGATGAACAAATATTTGCGTCTTTTACTTCTGGTCGCCGGCTTAGCTGCTATTTCTTTTGCTCTGCCGTCGACTGTTTTAAAATTCAGACCCCAACAAAAACAAGATGATATCGTGAAAATTTTGACAAAACAATCAGGACACCTTGCCGGGACCCTCAATCAGCCCATCCAATATTTCAGGAAATTGGTGAGTAGGCTTCTATACATTTTTGTAGATTGATCATTGAAATTTTGAGTTCATTGTTATGAGGAAAAAAAAAAAAAAATCTATGCTCAGTTAAAACCAGAAAATCTTATTTTTTTTGTCTCTACTCCACTTCATTTAATTATCCGCAACCTCAATGTTCTTGTTTTTTATTCATGATCGTGTGATTTTTCAAATATGGAAGTTCATTTTTCTTTTTGAGATATTTTTTAATTTTAAGCTCACATTATTGGACATATTTAGTAAATAAAAATGGGAGAAGCAACCACTCGAAAAGTGTAATCTCAGTTTTTTTTTTTTTTTTTTTTTTAACAGTTTTTCGTATACTTTTTTTTAGTTTTTTTGTCTTTTACACACACAACAAAAAGGTTCGTCCAAGTTTTTAGAGGTAAAGTTCAAAAATATAAAATAAAATAAGTAAATAAAATAAGCTGCAATCATCTGTGATCTCGATTTAAGTTTTTTTTATGGTTGTTGGTCGTTAATTACAACAAAATATTTAAAAATAAAATTAAATAAAATATCAAATAAAAGAAAATTTAATCATTTTTTTTTTTTTTTTCAATAATTGTTACTGATTTGTTTTCTGATTAATTAATCTAGAAAAAGAAAAGAAAAACATAGCTTTCAAAAATAAAGTGTAAAACTAAAAAAAAACGTAAAGAAAGGTAATTTTTAGAAATAGTAGTGTACTACCTGTAATTTTTTTTTAGTAAAACTACAAATATTTACCTCTTAGGTACCTCCGCCACGAGATCGCTAAAAAAAAATAAAAAAAAATAGCATAGCATGATGAAAAAGACGCCAAACTTGACGAAAACAAAATTCTATCGTCTAAAGATCAAAGCATTTTTGGGGTATTTTTTTTTTTTTTTTTTTTTTTACATTTTTTTTAATCGTTCCTAGCACGTCCGAAATTTTTCGTTAAAAATCTTGTTTTTTTTGAGTCCACAAAAATTCTCCCTTTTTTTTTTTTTTTTTTTTATAAAAAAACTGGAAATCTCACTTTGAAATTCTTTTAAATATCAATTATCATTTTTTTCAAAACTTATTTTAAGAAAATCAGAAATTGTTTATTTAAAATATTTTGAACCAAGCAACTTAGCTTCTGCACCGAAAAGATGTAATTTGAAAATAAAACAAAGCAGGTTATAAACTTGCGTCACGCGGTATTGACGGATTCCGTTGAGGCTAATTTGTTCTACGGAAGAAGAAAAGTGAAATAATTTACATTTAACAAATTATTTATCTCGTTATTTTTAAGGAAAACTTTCAGCGCTCTAATATTTTTTTTGTACTTAGCTTTCACCTTTACGTTTACTTATGCTGTTAAGTTAAGAGTGACATTAAATTTCATATTTCATAAGAAAGGTATCTAATTTATAGGTATCTTTCTTATGAAATTTTATCAGAAGGGTACATAAAATACTACATTTATTACATTTTACTGTGTTATTTGTATTTCCATTCATTTTTTATTATTAACTAGTAGTAGAGCCCGGCGTTGCCGGGGATGTAACAATAAAGAGATAGATCAAGTATCGACTATCATAAAGACTGAAAAATAAAATTGACAAAGATTATTGTTTAAGGTTGACGGACACGCATGTCTTAATTAGTTGTTGTTTTTTTTTTTTTTTTTTTTTTTTATTTAATTGGTCAAACCCAAACTCAAACAAAAACATTGTTTACAATCGTTATGAGTCTATCGATTGATGAATAGAATTTTATTATAAACAATTGTCTTGTAAATGGAATTTTTAAAGCATTCTGAATGTAAATAAAGAAAAAAGTGTGCAAGACAATAAGAAATACTACCTGCCAAAAAAAAAAGTGGATGTTTGTTTTATTGGCTGAAAAATGTAAGAAATCTGATCCCATATATAAAGGAACACACACACACACACACACACACACACACACAAACAACCTGGGTTTTTTAACCTAAGTCACTCCATGGAATCGCTAAAACATAGAGCATAGTCTGATGAAAAAGACGCTAAAGTTTATGAAAACAAAATTTTATCGTCAAAATGCTTATGTTTTTATGAAGAGGATAGACTAAATTTTTTTTTTAATTATTTTTAAAATTTTTCCATCTTTTTAGAATATTCTAAATTTTGATTTAAAAAACCTTGTTTCTCTTTTGTCGCAACAAGGGGTAGTAAATAACATAGATAATTTTTAGCATGTTTTTTGTATTTACACACATTAATTTGGAAAATCTTGCAAAAAATAAAAAATAATTGTCAGATGTTAATGAAACTTTCAGAAACTATTCACAGATGATCGAAATTATTATAAATATGTTTTTATTAAAGTCATGGCAGAAATATTTTTTTTATATTTATTAACACCCCATAACTAATTTTATGAAAAACTCTAGAAATTCGAGACAATCGGTTTTAGTGATTACAAGGCTTTGAAGAACGCAAATCATGTTTTTTTTTTTTTTTTTTTTTTTTTGGCCAACGTACCTGAAAATCAGCTGTGAATTGTAACATACAAAACTCAATAAAACAAATATATTATTTAGTTTCAAATGCTTTTATTCGTTTTAATTTGTTTTTATGAATATGGACAATATTTTCTGGAAGCAAAAATTTTTTTTAATGAAAATTGAATTTTTAATACAATTATTTCTTATTTCTTTAATTTTAAAAAGATTTTTAAAAAATGTTTAAATTGAATTTTAAAAAATATTTTAACATTAGTTAAATGCAACATCAACCTTTCAAAATGTCTGTGTGAGATTGTCATTGTCTAGCGCTTTGAAAATTGTATAATTTGGACCAATCAGATTAGCCATGGTAATTAAGAAATGTAATTTTTGTGTTTATAGTCGGACAGTAATTATCAAGTACGGAAGACCAACTAGAATACAATTTAGTTGCATTATTTGAGTTCAGCATTGTTCTCCGCTGTTAAGCCTTTTACTTTTGCGAAACACGTATGGAGAAGTTAATTTGAGTTTTCAATTTCAACTGAGAAGGGTACCTACACGTAACAGTATCATCTTATGAAATTTAACTACTGCTAAACTTTAATTTATATGATATTATTTTTATATTAATCTCAGTTATGACATTTTTCCATAAATGAAATATCAAAATTAATAATAAAATGAATGGAAATACAAATAACACAGTAACATGTAATAAATGTACATAAAATTATAGTATTTTATGTACACTTTTGATAAAATTTCATAAAGGTACCTAAATTAATTAGATACCTTTTTCTTATGAAATTTAATCTCACTATTAACAGTCTTATTTTTTAATTTCTTTATATTTTCCATAAAGCATCCTAAACGTAAAAATGAAAGCTAAGTACAACAAAAAAAAAAAAAAATTAGAGCGCTGAAAGTTATCCTTAAAAGTAACGAGGTAAATAATTTGTTCACTTAAATAATTTCACTTCCTTCCATCCGTAGAAAGAATTACCCTCTCGTAAGTTATCTAAATGTGCCTATCGTCAAGCGACGCGAAAGGTTATGACCTGCTTTGTTTTATTTTCAAATTACATTTTTTCGGCGCAGAAGCTAAGTTAAGCTTGGTTCAAAATATTTACAAATAAACAGTATAATATCTGTTTTTATTAAAATCAGTTTTGAAAAAATGATAATTGACTTTTAAAAGAATATCAAAGTAAGATTTTAATCTTTTTTATCAAATCGAAAAAAATGATTGAAAATGATTATCTGTCCTTTTTAACGAAAATTTCAGACGTGCTAGGAACGATTAAAAAATGTAAAAAAAATACCCCAAAAATGCTTTGATCTTTCCTCTTTAATAATAATATGAACATTAGACGATAAAATTTTCTTTTCGTCAAGTTCGGCATCTTTTTCATCATGCTATGCTCTTTTGTTTACGTTTTCGTGGGTGAGTTGTCCCCCTTTCATTCTCACGATGTGTCTTAATCATGTTCTCAAATTGATTTTCTTAAAAAACAATTTTGTTTTTCCCATTTTCGGCGCCGTTAGAACCATCACAAGGTAGTCCTGTGAAGTTTTGTTGAAATCGGCTAAAAAATGTAGGAAATTCGATACAACATATAAACGTTACAGACATACACACACACAACCTGCGTTTTATAATAAGTAAGATTTTGATATTTAATTTATGGAAAAATGTCATAACTGAGATTAATATAAAAATGAGATCATATAAATTTCATAAGATGATACTGATACTTGTAGGTACACTTCTCAGTTGAAATTGAAAAATCAAATTAACTTCTCCACGTGTTTTGCAAAAGCAAAGGCCTTAACAGCGGAGAAAAATGCTTAAATCAAATAACGCAACTTAATTGTATTCTGGTTGGTCTTCTGTACTTTATAATTACAGCCTGATTATAAACATAAAATTACATTTCTTAATTACTGTGGGTCTTCTGATTAGTCAAGACAATACAATTTACAACACGCTAAAAAAAAAAAAAGATCTATCTCAAAAGGACATTTACGAAACTGAATGCAGCTTTTAACTAATTTTATAATATTTTAACAACTTAAATGTAAAAATCTACTATAATTAAAGAAATAACAAATAATAGTATTAAAAATTCAGAAAATATTGTCCATATTCATAAAAGCAAATAAAAGCATTTGAAATTAAATAATATCTTTGTTTTATTGATTTTTGTATGTTACAATTCAGATTGATTTTCAGGTGTTGGGGGGGGGGGTCCAATTAGAAAAAAATAATACATAGTTTGTTTTCCTCAAAACCTTGTGCTTTTAACTAATATAATAACTCAACTGAATCCAACTGAATTTCTAGTGTTTTCATAAATTAGTTACGGGGGGTAATAATATTTGGGACCGGTAGCATGCAGTGCTGGTTTATTAAAAGGTGGCCTTGTGCCAGACACTACTTATGACTACCGAATCCACAAACAAAGTAAAAATATTGAATGAGTGATCTTAGTGAGGAAAAGGGGTCATTCAACAAGTGCATAAAAATAATACAAGTAGA